ATAGGTGATGGAAACTCAATTGAAACGAAGATTAGAATTTTTTTAAAAGAATTAAATATCATATATTAAAAGAAGAAGAATTATTAGAAGAACATGATTTAGCTTTTGAATTCTTAGTCTAACAAATTGATGTGGTTGCTAACTATGCATAATAAGTATATGTAAGAAATAATCGCTTTCTCATCTTCCTTTTTTACCATTGCTCCAAATGAAATGAGAGATAGTTGCTGCAAGAAAATGAGGCAATAAAAAAATATTTTCTTGTTTAATGATGAAGGGAGGGAGTGAGTAGTCCATTACTTATCGTCCTAAATGCAAAACCTCTAGAGATTACCTGAGTGATTTGTTGGTATTTATAGAAGGGGCATAGCAAGCATAGATGGAACTAAGAGAATGCTGAAAGAGTTCTGTTGTTTATCTTTTCTACGATGCAATCCAATGAAAAGTCAATTATTTTGTGGTGGGTTGTCTATTGAAATAAACTCTAATTTGTCTGCTAGTTTTGGTATTCCTATTGGAGAGTTTCCTATATTACATTCTGGAATCCACTTAATTACTAGAAAGTTAACAAGCAAAAACTTTCAAGTTATTGTGGATAGAATTACTGCGAAGATCAGAAGTTGGAAGGCTTGATTGTTGAGTTATGATGGGAATATACCACTTGTATCCTCTATGGTATATAACACTTTGTTGTTCTAGATGAATTTATTCGTCTTCTTAAGGTTGTGTTACGAGACATAAAAAAAATGTAATGATTACCTTTGGGGCAATGGTGAAGTGAGTATGAGGAAGATGGTTGTTGTTGCTGCTTGGCATTAAGTAGATAGTCTTTAGAAAGAGGGAGAGTTTGCAATTTGAAACTTCAAAGTTTAGAACTAGATTTGTGTTATCAGAAACTTATGGAATATCCTTACAAAGGGGAACCCTATGGATGACATGGTGCCTGATTTAGTTATTTATAAGGTCAAGAATATATTTGTATGGGAATGAATCAATACTTATAAGGTTTTGGATTTGGATAGGAATGTTGGGAGTTTATGGGATGAGTGTACATGTATGATAGCTCGAGACCGGGTGACTAGGATAATGATAGAGTCGTGAACAACGTTCACTTTTCGTAAAAAATATTTCAATCCTCTACAAAGCCTTGGGTTACAGGAAATTTCTTCGTAGGATAAAACTATCACCAATTTATGTTACAGGCTCAAGAACCTAAATCATACTTAAAAGTTACATAGGAAGAAGAGAATCAATTTTTTGGTGTGTTAATCCATCATCCGATCACCCATATTTATAGTACTTCTAAGCACTTCATGTCCAAAACAATATGTTGTTTCTAGTGAACGGTTACATGGTGAAAGGACACTCCACTTCATGGAAATTTAGTTTGCAATGTTTGAATTTGAGGCCGGTTTTGTTTGTAGTTACCTTTGTGAAGATTTGCATTGTTTGAGCCATGCAACACATGGTTTCTTTTCAAAACCATAACCACTTCACGTAACCATCAATACATTGCCATTTCCAATAAAACCAGCCACCATTTCCAAACATGGCAAAGCAAAGCAACCCACCATTTCATTTCATTTAAATGAAACGTTGCCATGCCAAAGTGTTGACATCTAACGTGTGATAATAAGTGTCCTAACCAGTTTGATTTAATTAGTTCTCACCAAATCTAGGGGTCGTTTGCTTCAAGGATTTGCATCATGGATTTGGTACCAAAAAACCAACTATTAAGGATTTAAGTACAATCCTTTGTTTGCTTGGTCCAAAAATGTTGAAACAAATCCGTGGGCCCCACAGATTTGGTTTTTTTTTTTCACTCCAAATCAGTGGGGCCCACAGTTTTACAAATCCCACATGATTATTAGGAAATTGGTTATGGGATGAAAAACCAAGAGGCCAAATGACACTCCTATCCTCATTCTTTTTTATTAAACCAAAATTGCCCTCTTCACATCCACCATATCTGCCGCTTCCTATTCCTTCTCACCAAACCGGGAAACCTGTCGAAGAGTACTTCCCTTCCTGGAAAATTGCAGCCGACATCAAACTCTGACTGCATCAAGATCCGACGGCGTCAACCTCCAACGGGAGCCAGAGAGAGAGAGAAATAGAGCGCTGAACGTCGATGATAAAGATGGAAAGCGAGAGGGGGAAGGAAGAATGGTTTCTAAAGATTTGAACTTTGGTCCACCCACCACCACCTTGTTTATTGTCATCGTCCCAATGCCCTCCTTCCACACTGTAATTTCCTAAAATTTCTTTCACCCGCTTCTCTCAAATCCCATCTCGAAACCCTGAACCTTTTACTTTTTCTCCTCCTCGAATCGCCATTTCCCATTCTCCAGGTAAGCTACGCACTGCGCACTACTCCTTTCTATCTACATCTGAGAGACTCAGTCGATTCAAGCTTCTGATTTGCATGCATTTTTGTTTGATCTGTGTGTAAAGTTCGCTGCTTTTCTTTAACTCTGAATCAAGCTTCGCTGGGTTGCTGTTAGTTTTCAGATCCTTGTGGATCACTGTTCTGTTGGTTTGAAGTGAATGTCAACAATGCGTAGTACTTGGGCTGAATTTGAATGTTATTTAACAAGGAAAGAAAGGGGAAACGCATAGCAGTTCTTCATTTCTAAAAAGGGCAATAAGGTAAATGCAATTCTTTATTTCTAAATCACAAATTATTAAATCCATGATTAAAATGAAGAAACAAACAAAGGATTTTTCCAAATCCAAAATGCCCCAAATCCCAAATAAAACCTTAGGTTTTTAAATCCCACTTTTAAGTGAAAACTCTCATTTTACAATCCTTGAGGCAAACGACCCCCTAGTTTCACTTAATTCCAACAATCCTCCCCATTTTAGTGTATTCATATAATTCACTAAAATCACAACATTCTTCCAACAAAACTTAAGCATAAATGAAAATGTCTTGACGATTGAATTTTCATCTTAGTATATTACACTTGAAGAATATTCGAATATATGGGTGTCGGTAACGATTGAACTCATCTACTCAAATGGATATTCAAAGATAATATACACTCAAGTGTTCAAAACTTCTAAGCACCTTGACACTATTACCCGTCATGTGTCCAATCCTTCTCATAAGCACACATGAAACCAAAGTCCGGGTTTCTTGAAGTGGTTGCACTTCATGCTTACGTAGGTTGAATCTCTTATTCGTGTACCCACATAATACACCTTTTTCAAAGATTCAATTAAGAAGTTTAGAACTTCATCCTCTTCTCTCATGTAGGATAACAAACACATACCTATGGATGACAAATTGTGTGCTTCAATTTCGATTAAGCCTCTAACATTGTATTATAGGGGAATTGGGTATCCCATGATCAGAAATTATATGGACTTTAAGCCCATCCCCTTCACAGAGTTGACCACCAAGTCACTAGTTAATCATTTTGTCAAATGATCAACTAAATTATCTCTAGTCCGGTCATATTTGTACATACACAAATCTATGAGTGATCAATTCATAGATTTTACCGTGCATAACTCCGACATGACCTAGTTTCTATTTTACACTTGGCTATATGTCTTAGTCAAAGTAGCATTACTATCATTAAGAATAGTAATAGGTGAGATTGGTTTTGGCCATAAATTAATGTCATAAACCAAGCATCTCAACATTAATGTCTTTTTTCTAAGAAAAATCAAGGCCACAAACTTTGACTCCATAGTGAAACTTAGTGATGCAAGCTTGCTTTTTAGAAGCCAAAACATGGCACCTCCCCCAAGCAAGAGGACCCATCTCAATGTTGAAGTATCACCTTTAACATGAGAAATCCAACTGGCATCAACAAATCCTTCCAAAATAGCATGGTCCCTGAAACCGTACCGGACACCGTACCGGAAAAGTTAGTGGTAGGATATTTTATGACAAAACCGTGGTTTAACCGTATTTCAACCATTTATACCGTTAAATACCGCCTACCGATTTAGCCTCCGATACTTGTATTTTGTAGTTGAACCGTCGGTACGATACGGTTTCATGGACCATGCAAAATAGATGGAAAACCACTATAAATCAATGCAATGTGTCTTTGACATAGTGGTAAGTATGATCTCGTGAGAGCGATGTGGAAGATTATATACATTAGTGCAACGTGTGGAGTATAGTGGTAAGTCTGATCTCGGGAGAGCGATGAGGAAGATTATATGGCAGTAGTGCAACATGTTGTCCAAGTAATTTGTGTTTGAAAGTTAAACAAGTTGTTAAATGTCTTCTAGAGAGTGATGCGTTGTTACAAAGTAGTATATCTCAGTTAAGACTAGAGCGGTGAGAAGGTTGTGTTGATGTTATATAGATAGAGAACAGTTTTTCGTTTTGACAGTTATATAACTTCGAGAAAGGAGTTGTGTTGACCTACATTGAGCTTAATGAAAATTTTGATTTAACCATAAAAGAAAAATTACCTCATATCTATTATTTCATCTAAACAAAAAGAAAATAAAAGTAATTGTTGATGGACAAAATATACAATACATAGATTTATGAGAACTGTGAGTTAATTACCGTCTATCGTAGCCCACACACAAAAATAACTTTTTACTTTTGTTGCATCAAAATTCACTCACTAATTTATTTTTCATATTTAATTGATAACTTTGTTTTTCTTGGAGTAGACCAAATAAACTTAGGTGCCCATAATACTAATAAGTGTTTTAGTAGCAGGTTAATGCCCATGTTCTTCCGAGGCCCTGTGTTGTAGGGTCTGTCAGCACATGGCTAGGATCGTGCCTGTTAATCATACCTTTTCACCCAATCAATGTAACTATGAATGAATTTATCAGGGCCAACGTGAAGCTTAAATTGCACATCATTCCTCCAGAAACCCAATACTCTCCTAAAAGGAGCATAATCATAGTTCATACTACTCTCCCAACCAACCTGAAAGTTCTTCGCCACTTTATTCATGCTATGAATATTTAGTCTTGTTTCGTATATATAGCTATAATATCTACTTTACCAATATAAACAAAATTATACTAAATATATATTTTCTACTGTTCTTAAACCTTACATTACAAGATGCGATAATCATTTAGAATTAGATTAAAAACCAACAAATTTTGCCTAAATGTAGAAAAATGAACCAAATTTTATTGACTCCATAAAATTTTAGCCCATATTTGCAAAAAGGAGAACTTTGGAGAAACCGCAAGGAATAGCTTGATAAGAAAGCCCATCCAACAAGAGGTCCCCTTCTCTTTTACCTCCCTTATAAGTAGATAGAAACCAACCCAAATTCACTTAGCTAGAATATGAGAGGACTCTCAAGAGCTACCTCACCTCAAACAACTACATAGTAGAAGGAGCCCCACCCTTCAGTTGGATCATTGGTGATGTAGTCACCACAACAATGAAAATCTAGGTCGAGTAATGCCAACAATAGGATTGAGAAGAGAGAACAGAAGGAAAGGAAAAATACACATTAATTAAATAGATTTTCCTATACATAGCTAAAAGTAAAAAACCTATTAGAGCCGGGTTTCGATCCAACGATCTGTGGGTTACGGGTCCACTGTCACATGCTTCCGTAGTGCCACTTTGATTAGAATTTTTTTTCCGAGTGATATCAAGAGAAGACAAGAGTTATACAAACAACACCCTAGTGAAACCCCCTACAAGCAACACCCTAGTGAAACCGCCCAATAAAGTCGAAAGACTATAATTCTAGTAGAGACAATAACAGTGCTTTAAGTGCCACTCTATGGGCAACACTGTTGGCGACTATAGGAACCGTCCTAAACTCTAAATAATATGACAAAGAGCCTAGGATCTAACGACAGTCCCGAAGCACCGGACTTCCAAAAGAATCTTCTAGGACACCTTGCGAATCTTGTTGAAAACCACCTAAGAATCACCTTCTACTATGATGTGAGTCAAGCATCTTGGGTGACGATGGTGATTGCATCTCTTACTGCTAGGAGCTTCGCCAGATAGGGGTTGACTACTCCCTAGTGACGCATACCGGCTGCAAGCACCACATGCCCATCTGACCCACGAATAACAAGACCAGACGAACAACCTGAATCACGGACAACTGCATAGAAGTAGAGCTTCAAATAGTAGTTTGGTGGATGCTTTCAAGTGGCGGGAGGAGGATTAGGAAGGAGCTATCTAGGGGCAGAGGAGGGAGGTGAATATTGGAGACGTCAAGGACCTGTTTGTAGAATTGTCAGGCGAGGGAACGGACATGAGGTTGATAGAATGCAAAGTTACTTTATTTCTAGACTTCCAGATTCTCCAAAGTAAATAAACACATTGGAGAATTTGGAATGGGGAGATCTCTGAGATCAAGACAATGTCGCCACCATAGACTAAAATTAATAGTCAGGGCGGAATCAATGAAGTTGCTCAATCCCACTAAGGTCCACAATTTGGTGGCTAGGGGGCATCTTAATAAAAAGCGATCAATGCTCTCTTGATGTCGCCAGCACACGGGATATCGATCGAGGCGGTTAACTCCACGAATTTGTAGGGCTACCAATGTGGGAAGAATAACCCTGAGGCATTGTCATATGAAGAATTTAAACTTAGATGAGACTTGAATATTCCAAAGCCTTTTTTCCAAATGGGGGTTCGATAATATGGACCAAACTAATCACTCTTAAATTGACCAAACTTCAGATTAAAAGGTAAATTTCACCAACGTCAACGTACTCAAAGTTATCTGCAATCAAAATAAAGGAAAGCAACGTGAAAATGGTCACCAAGTGGCAATTAAAGTAGGGGAACTTGAGTTGCAACCAGATTGATGGAATCTTGGTATAACCGGAAGACAAATTGATGGGTAACGGACAATAAAAAACATGATGGGTAACGGACAATAAGGCTCATTTTATTTTGTCAGCATGATTCTAATTGTAATTAAAGGGGTGGGATACTATGCTAACCCCTAAAGGGGTAGTGATTTTCAACACCCCCTTTATGATTGGCCAATTTTATTTTCAATCATTGGCAAGTATTAATTAAACTGGTTTTTTATTTTGTTTAATCTTGTAATTTGGGGTCTCTCACCCACATTGGAAAGGGAAAGAATATGGGGAATCAGAAAAAAGCTCCCCCCCAAATGTGCAATTAATTGCCTTTTTTTCTTCCTTTCGTCTCCTTCTCTCTCCATTTGGGCCCTCTTTCCATTTTGATTTCATTTTAACCAGAACCCTCCTCTACTCTGAAACGACCAAAACCCTCCAGCGCCTTCCCCCACCACCATCCTCCTATCTCCAGCTGCCGCTATCCTGGGATCGCCTCTGACCTACCTTGTGGATTGCTCGCACCAGTGGAGTGGTACGTGTACCAGTGGAGTGGTACGTGTACCAGTGGAGTGGTATTTGTATCATTGAAGTGGTACTGCATTGTTGCTCCGTTATTGTTTATCATTGTTATGAAAAATATCATTGCACTGGTATTGTTCTCACTCTAACCTACCTTGTGGATTGCTCGCACCAGTGGAGTGGTACGTGTACCAGTGGAGTGGTACGTGTACCAGTGGAGTGGTACGTGTAATTAATGTACCAGTGAGAGAAATTAATTATGTAATTAATGGGGGTGATTTCGTTTTTCCCCAGATTCTTTCTCTTTTCCAATGTGGTGAGAGACCCCAAATTACAAGATTAAAAAAAAAATAAAAAACCAATTTAATTAATACTTGCCAATGATTGGAAATAAAATTGGCCAATCATAAAGGGGGTGTCAAAAATCACTACCCCTTTAGGGGTAGTCAAGCTAACCGATCCCGTAATTAAAGAGAAATAATAGCTCATTAGCTTCCCAAAATTGAGTTCTGAAACGGAACATTTCCTATAGCACCATAAATAGGCCACTTTAATGACAAACTTGTCATTTTGTAAGCCTAATAGGAGGGTTTAGCAAACCAAACTTGCATTCTGGGCACTTAATAACCCATTTACGTCAATTAAAAGATGCTTAACAAACTTAAATATAGCCTTAAATGCACCAGCCATAAAATGTAATTTACTCTTGACATTAAAGCTTAGTAAAAGCTCTTTATGTCGGAGTGAGAGAAACTTAATTCGCTGTATTCGAATCCGGCCGCCAGCGGTGAGGTTGAGTTGTCGACGGCAATCATGCTCAGTCAACGAAATCATCCGGCATCTAAACTTCAAAGTCTAGATCTGAGGAAATCCGACAGAAACCAGTCGCCACCCTGGATTTAGTCCATCGACGGTGCCATTCCTGGGGTGACCGAGTTCACTGCTCAGGAATCGAATGAGCAGGATGACGGTGGTGCCACGCTTCCAGCAAGGAAGAAAACCTCCCACAGTACCATTCTTTGATTTCGTTCACTAGGTTTTCTACCTACGTCAAGATCCATCTAATCTTTCGTTTGACCCGAAACCCATTTCACTTATGCAAACAAGCAAATCTAGAACATCATCGGCATTGATCAGTGAAGGGGAAACAAGTAAAAGGAAGGAGATCTTACAAGAACCGAGAAAGAAACTCCGGAACGGGACTCACCGGTAGATTGGCCAGTAAACCGGATCGGAACGGGAATTCAAACCACGACCACTGGCGATCGAAGCAAAGGCTTTGCTAATCTCCTGTAAGATTGAATAGTGATATTAGCGCTACATCGCAAAAAGCTGGTCTCGATGTTGGAATCGAATCCTCTGTAACGGGGGTCTTCATGCAATTCTCCAACGGAAAGGGATTGGGAAGGTAGGCCGATGCAGAATCCATTGGCGGCGAAGAAGCTCGGATCGACGACGCGAATTGTGCGGCAGTCGTAGAAGATTCGGCGGACGTGGTTGCCACTTTGATTAGAATGTTGATGAAAGAGTACTCTCAAGAGTTGCCTCAAACAACAACATACTAGAGGGAGCCCCACCCTTTAGTTGGATCATTGAATGCCACTCCTACATGGGCTCAATAGACAGTCATAGATACAACAAAAAATCTAAATGTTAACCTAAGAACTAACACCAATAACCTGAAATCTCGAAGAACGAGATGGCCTACCACACGGCCACACCAGAGTCCAATCCTCAAGCAAGCTGACGTACTATGACTTATGAATTACTCTAAACAATAACACTTTGAATTTGGTGTTTGAACAACAAGAGTGGTTCATTTCGAGCATATAGGAGTTTTGTTAGACCATCCACTATGGTTAGTAGGGAAAAGTGGGTGGGTTAGGGGGGAAATGTGAGTTTTTTGGGTTTTGGAGTGGGAAACCGCACAATGGGTTGAGAGGGAAAAGTGGGAGGGGTGTTTTTTTTTTAAAATCAATTTAGTGTTGATTTTGTCACTTTAGTTAAATAATTTTATCGTTCTTTTTATATGGATAGTAATAATTAATTAAGGCGAACGTTGTGATACATATATATTTTAATTTGGACATAATTTAGAATTCAATTCTGATCGTTAGATCACATTTGAAACGATCTATGGTTTAAAAAAAACCAAACTAAAACGAAAAAGAAAAACTAGTAAAAGTAACAAAAAAAAAAAAAACAGGCCAGATATGCGGGCCCCGCCAAGCCACTCCCCCTCCTTTTGTCTTGTTATGGGGGAAAACCCACACATCTTTTTCAATTTTATCATGCTTTCCCCCCCTTTCCACCCCTCACTATGAGCCTCCCCACTAATTCTATCCTTCTTTTCCTCCTTTTGATTTGGGTCCAAATGTACACATTTTAGCCCTCATTTCTTATCCGTTATGCATAGTAGATCACCGTCCCTCGACCTATTTTACGCTAGGTTGTGCTTGTTTTGTTACATTTCAGGTCCTAGCACGTGTGGGGAGGTCGAGGATGAGTTTCGGGTCGATCAGAGGTCGAAAAACGCCAAAAACTGAAAATGTCCAAAGTAGTGACCATGACAATTGCCCCATGAACGTGAACTAGCTGGGTTCCAGAATGTTTCCAGAGTTTACTGGCAAATTGTCAGTTCACGGCCAGACTGTGAAGTGTTGTAGTGAAACAACGCGAATTGGTTCGAGTTCACGGTCTAGGCTTCAAGTTCACGACTGTGAACTCAGACCGTGAACAACCTTCGATCTGAGTATAAAAGGGAGCAGCAGAAGGAAGAAAAGTGGAGCTAGTTTTGGGAGAGGAATTAGTTTCTTTCTCTAAGGTTTCGATCCAAAACATCAAAGGGGAGTTCTAGAGAGAGAGAGAGTGAGCTCTTGAGTGATCTTGTAGCTTAATTCAAAGCATTGATCTAGCTTGGAAGCAAGGAATCAAGCCTAGAAGAAGAAGATCTTGGGCTCTAATTTGTAATCTCTCTCCTCTCTCTCTAGAAACTCACCCTCTTCTCTTGGGTTTAAGAACCCTAGGTCTAGATTTTATTTCATTGTTGATGTATGTGACAAATTCTATCTTTGATTGATGAATTTATCTATTTGATGGATGTTTGGTAAGGATTGAATGAGTTTGGATTCCTTGACTTGTCAATTGAGCTTTGACCTAGGAGGGAGAAAACCCCGGGTAATCCCCGAGGGAGTTGATTCCATTGGATCTCCTAGCAATATATGAAACCCTAGGTTGATTAGAGCTCCTACCCATCCATCACTTTGCCGTTTCGGGTCCGTCCCGAGTGAGTCAATCTCATAACGGTAGGATAGTGAATCGATCGAGTTAGGATAATACTCAACACCGATCCAAAAGGCTAGAAATAGGAGGATTTAACCCAAGAGAGCTCCCAAACCTTGTAAATATCTAGGTTAGTGGTTAGCTAGGTTGGTTAGTTTAATTCTTCTAATCACCATCCTAGGTTGGCTAGATAACGAACCCTAAACCTGAAGTAGGGTAAGCCTAGATCCCCGTGGTACAATAAATTCTTATGCTTGCTTGCCCTATGCTACACCCGGTTGCCGGTTATACTTGGCCGTCGATTGAGATGTTGTAGTTAGAACGAGTCACCTTTCCCTACCCCATAGTTGGTGGTCTTAGATAAGGATCAGAAATATCAGGACGTTGAAAGCCCACAACTAATTCCAAACTCCTTTAGTTGCCTTAGTAATAAATCAAAAGCGCAGGACATGGAAAGATGAATTACTACATCAAAGTTTAGCATGAGGTGGCCAGGAGGAGACCAAGGTGGAGGGGCCCCGAGATGAAACCATGGAGTATGATGAAGCTCGACTTGTATGGTTGAGTAGATTTACGATAGTTTAATTATAAAAGAAGGACAATTGATCGCACATGGCGTGGAACCACCTAACGGTGGCTCTTTACTTCCTCAAGACTTGCTTCTTATTTTTCTTTCACCTTTCATCTCCTTTATATCAATGAGGAGGTATGAGCAAGACAACTCTGCTCCAGAAAGAAAAGAAGCCAGCTTGTCCTTTTTCGTTTGATCTCTAACTCAGAGCAAAACCGTCTTTTTGGCCCCTCATGCTGCATATGAGTGGATCTTCACTAAAATCGGCTCTATTGCCAAATATAAATTTTGCTTAGTAAGACCCTCTTCGAGCCTCTACTGAACAAAATTTTGCTTGTACTTGATAATCATTTTCTTGATACTACTGAAAGGAATATAAATTCAAGAAACCAATCTAATAGTTATAGTTGTGGCTGTTAGTTAGGAAGCAAGTGCATAAAGTGTCACAACATTATATTTACACGTTAAAAATGGAAATTGAGAAGTAGTTTACATCATGGATTTTAATGAGGATTTGGTCTCTAAAACCAACACATGAAGGATTTATCCAAAAGTTATTCTTTGCTGGGTCAAAATGTGTAGTGCCAAATTCGTGGATTCTGTTTGTGCCTGATTAGTACCAGGAGGATGGTGGAACTCTTGGACCGCGTACGGACTCCAATTGGGAGGCGGTCACGTAGGATCATGCAAGAAAGGTTCTCAGGAGAATCCTAGGACCTCCTCCGATGGCTAAGTTAGTGAGAGAAATGAGAGAATCGTAAATAAGAGAGAGAGAGAGTAGTGGTTGGAAGTCACCATAATTGCTACACATGAGGGGGTATTTATATTAATGTTGGCTATGGTAAAGGCATTTAATGACCTATCGGGCACCTAGGGACGCCTCAGCCTCCATTGAATGCATAGTTAGAGCGTATCTTTGTTAGTCTCCGTACTAAGGAGTTCAGGAGGCCATTAGACCTTTATGTCGGGCAGTCTTCTAGGTTAACGATGGAGACTTTGTTGGGCGGTCTTCTCATGCCTTTTCAAAGACCGCCTGTGGAGAGGGCACAGCGTGTATGCCAGCCTGTTTGGGCCTGGCTTGCTTATTTTTGTGCTTTTAGTGGCCATGGGCTTGGGGCCCACGCGTCTCAATGCTTGGCCCAACATATTCCATATTTCCATAGATTTGTAAATCCCACCTTTTATTTGGATTTTGAAGAATGAAACATATCCTTCAAATGAAATTACGAATATATTATATCCCTTATAATTTAATTATTCTAACTGCACCTTTGATTACTTATTTTTTGCACGATAATTGCCTCTTATAGCTACAAATAACAACCATGAAAATAGTATTGTAGCTAATAACATGCTAATAACTATGTAATCTATTGCTCGTGGCTATTTGTGAAGGTCTTAGTCACAAATTTATTTAGCCATAAGCCTATAACTAAATTGTTTCAAATGTATCGAATATGATGGCAAGTAATACCCTTTAGCCACACAGATTTTTAGCAACGTTAAATCATCGAAGTAGACTTTTTTTAGCTATGAACCACATTTGTTGTATCAACAATGATTCTAACAAACAAATTTTGGCTATATTTTTATTAGCTACACATTTTAAAGTCCTGTGGCTGGTGATTTTATGAACATGCTATAAGATGACAATCTCGAAGCATAATTTAGCAATATGGCTATAAAGTATACAACAAGAAACACAAATAAAACTATCAATCTAATAGGAAAAAGGGTAGTAAAGTGGTATACATCTTAAAGATAAAAATTCATAACCCAAACAACCCATGATCAAATCAACTAAATAAACAATAGGACCTTTCAAATCCATAATGTAACAAATCGCTAACAAATTCAAAGGGTTTCAAAACCCAAGTTCTAACAAAAATCCTAGTTTTCAAATCTAAGATATTCTTTGTAGTTTTTTTTATAGGAAATATATTCTTTGTAGTTACGATAAACTTTAATCAACCATTTCGTTTTGTCGATTTGCTATACAAAATACTAGCACAGGATCCGGTACGTTGGCCGGGAGAATTTTCTGAGTAATATGATATATAATAATTGATATAATAGACGATTTAAAATGCATTAAATTTTTTTTTTTACCTTGTGCACATAATATTTTTGAAAATGATCCTATGTATAATGTGTTTAGACCTCAATGAAGAGCGAAAAAATATGGTATAAGCATTACATTACATATAATTATTGGATAAAAAAAGAAATAAATATAACTAATTTTCATTCATTACTTAATTAAACCATATAGTTGAATATTAACGTTCCTTCTCATAATACATACAAATCAACCTTTAGGATGAGATAAAATGTCTCTCATAGAGTTTAGTGTGTCGTTTCAGTTTTTCCCAATAGAGAGCATTCTTTTTTAACACACCATTGGTAATGGATCTGAAGTTGCTTGATTTGAAATATATAAGACATGATGCTAAGTTTTCGCTAATAGTTAGTTGGACAATGTGTTGTGCACGGACTTCCCAAATTATTATCAGATCCCATACATGTCTAGCAACAATATAGTAATTTTCACCCAGCAAACATTTTTTCATGAAATAATTCAATAAATAAAAACCCATGAAAATCATATTACATGAAATATATGTTACTCATTAAGTTGATGAATGAGCGAGGGTATGAGTAACATACATTTATTTTAAAAAGATAGAAGTTGCAAAGTGTCTTTTGGGTTGAATGAGATTGCATATTCTCATAATCGCTAACTGACTTATGTTTTTTTTTGCAGTAGATAGTTCAAAATGTGCCTTAAATTTTTTGTTTGCACCAGTGTAAAATAATTATTGAACCAAAGGATTGTAAAATTGTATCGAAAAAGTTGGTAATAGAGTATTTTATATTGAATTCATAATTCAGCTGTGGTTAAACTGTTTCGTGTTGCCAAATATCACTTATCGATTTAGCCTATGGTGTAAAGTTTTATGGTCGAATTACCAGTATGTACTATTTTTCAATTCAAAATTTAAATAAAAAACCACTAAAATATTGACATTATCAAATACCCTTTAAATCTCATAAATTACTATAATCGTTTTAAGGGAAAAATCATCCAAACGATAATATTGATTTAGGATTTTAGATTGAAATGGAAAAAATCTGTCAACTATAATGTCATCTGCTTAAATAAATCAAAACTCAATAGAAGACGGTCAAGAAGACCCACTAAACAAAACAGAAGAGCAATTATTACGCACTACCTCATTTCCCCCCTCTTTTAAATGTATCCTCTCGTTCTCTCTTTGTTTTTTCATTTGTTCTTCCATCTCTTCTCTCCGAGCTTTGTATCTCACCACTCTCCCCCTTTCCGTTCCTCTTTCTTCCCACTGCATGGAATCGAGAGAAACCAAGAAACACCCCAATCACTTCTCCAATTTTGCATCTAAATGTTTCTTCTTCATTCACAGTCGATAGTGTGAATCAGAACACATAAACCTGGCAAACAGATGGCCGCTTATTCCTCGACGGAGCAAAGTAGTTTGATATCTTGTAGGAGCAGTCACCGGCGAACCCCTCCATCTCCGAACAAACCCTCAATGAGTCCCTCTACATCTCCGCCCGCTGTCGACCGCTCCCACAACATTTATTTGGCGTTCCTCCTTCCTTGAACTCGTTGGCAGATGCTCAACCCTGATATGCTCTTCCAAAGTCACAATCACTGGCTCCAACCATATCCAATCGTTGCAAATGAAGACTGTCGGAAACACAATGGTGGTCGGGTGGCGTATTTGGTGATGATGATGCAGAGGGAGCTAGCTCTTCAATTCCGGGGGGGGGGGGGGGGGGGGGGGGGGATTGGGTTATTGGTTGATGGTGGCGATGATAAATAAAGGTGATGGGTGACTGGTAGCGATGAAGAAGCAGCAAGAGTAGGCTGTTGAGTGATAAATTGAAGGATTTTTTTGCGATGAGTGATTGGATTTTGTGATAGGAGTTGGGTTATGGTCGACGCCCCGGAGGAAGAAGAAGAGGTGCAACATAATAGAGGGGTTGGAAAAGAAAGGGGGGAATAAAGAAAACAATTAATTCCAAATAAATAATCAAATAGTATTTAATTAATTTATGATGTGTCATATCTATATGTCAGTTTATGAAGATGTATACGCTGATGTGTGCCCTGATTTGGATTCCTGTCAGCATGTCGTTACAATAACTGATGACGTCCCTAACATCGTCAAAGTTTGTAATTTTTCATACAACCATCAAAATTCTTGCTATTTCGTGTATTTCCAAAGATGTGGCTATAAGTGTCATAAACGTGAAAATTGTGGCTATGTAAGTGTATTTTGACAATATAGAAGTATCATCACCAAACATATTCCTAGAATTTAATCAAAGAAATAACAATAAATACAATGTAGCCTAGTTGGTTATAATGCTCTTCGTTCATTTAAGTGACCAAGGTTCAAACTCCAAAGATAAGATTTTTAATATATAAAGGTGAACTGGGCGCAATGACAAAAATGACATTTGTAGAATCACTCTCAGGCCATGAAATTTGAAATAGGACAATTTAAACCCATGTTTTGTCTTTATATATTTTGTATATTTGCGATGGCAGATGGGGGGATTGGATTTTGTGATAGGGGTTGGGCCATGGTCGATGATCTGGAGGAAGAAGAAGAGGTGCAGTAGAGCAGAGGGGTTGGAAAAGAAAGGGAGAAATAAAGAAAAAATTAATTCCAAAAAATTAATTAAAGAATTTTTAATTAAATTATGACGTGTCATATCTATATGTCAGTTATTGATGATGTATACGCTGATTTGAATTCCCGTCAACATGTCGTTACAATAACTGACGACGTCCCTAAACTGTTTAAGTTTGTAATTTGTCATACAACCATCAAAAGTCTGGTTATTTCGTGTATTTCGAAAGATGTGGCTATAAGTGTCACAAACGTGAAAATTGTGGCTATGGAAGTGTATTTTGACAATATAGAAGCATTACCGCTAGGGGTGTGCAATGGGAAACATGTATTTGGGTATACCCGTCCCGTTTTTTAAGGGTTATGGGTACCTTTATTACCCGTAATATTATAAACAGATGGGACTTGGGATTGTACATTCATAATATGGGTACCCGCGGGTTACCCGCAAATACCCGTTGGGTAATATGGGTACCCGTTATACCCATTCAATACAAAGGCAGAAATTCATTTCAGCCCAACCCAATTCACTAATTCCGAACCCATTGGCCATTTCTGCCCTTACCCTTTCAATTCCATTTCGGGCCCTTACCCTTTCACTTTCAGTGAGACTCAGTGAGTCAGCGTTTCGAAGCGAGAGACCTAGCTTGGCTTCCTCATTCATTCATCGTCGCACTTCCTTCATTCACCCTCTCATCGCGTCAGCACGACATCCGAAGGAGGCGCAGTCACTGCGGCGTCATCTCACTCTGCTGCGATCGCGGCGTCGTCTCACTCTGCCACGCCGACTCCATTCAATAGCAGAATAGCTCCTTCTTCTCACTCTACTGCTCTGCCTCCATTCAATGGCAGACCAGCAGCAGCCAGCCAGGAGCACCGCGAGAGCGATCGATGGAGCTAAGCATAAGTGAGTGAATCGAAACGAGCAACAACCATAGTTCTAAGAGCTGCAAGCAGAACCTATAGCCGATTCGGTCGAATTGTTCCTTCTCTGTAAGGGGTTAGAGTGATAACCACAACTCCAAGGCACGAGAGATGTTTCCATGTACAGTTGCTTCAGTTCAAACTTCCCAAAAACAGAGATCTAATGGGTTCAACACCTAAGCTCAAGGTATGATCTGAACAAGGACAACGATCAAGAAACTCAAGAGCAACAACTGTTCACTTCGGTCGGGCAAATTTGCTCATCATTTTTGCGATTACGGGAGCCACCTTTGGGTTTGTTTGGTGCTTCGCGAGGTTGGCAGGGTTCTTCATAACTGAATGAGTAAAAATTTGCAAACCAAGTATTTGTGATTGGGATGGGTTTTGTGTCTTATGATTGTTAAGCAAGTACAAGTTAAGTTTAAACTTTTGTTAAAATTTTAGTGGTTTAAACTTTGGGTATTTATGGGTAGTATGGGTACCAGTTATCCGTCCAGTACGGGTAATGGGTACCAGTTATCCGTCCAGTACGGGTAATGGGTACCTGTTTCCCGTATGGGTTTGGGATATGGGAAGGATTTTGGTCTCCTAATGAGAATGGGTTGCCCGAAAAGTAACCCGATCCAAGTAGTTTCACCATACCTCTTTGCATCAGTACTCATCATATATAAAATTCTTTGGCGGACTTAGGAGTAAGAATTAATGTGATGCCCTTTAAGCATTTTAAGAGGCTAGACTTGGGTGAATTAAGGACTACTAGGCTTAGTGTCACATTAGCCGATCTCTCTATCATTATTCCTAGGGGCATTGTGGTGGATGTGCTAGTACGAGTGGGGAAATTCTGCTATCCGACGGATTTTGTGATCCTTGATATAAGTGAAGATTCAGAAATGCCACTAATACTAGGACGCCCCTTCCTTGCCACCACCAAGGATTTAATTGATGTTAATGAGGGGACTTTGATTTTGAGAGACGTTGAGGAGAAAATTACTCTTGGAATTGAATCTAAGCCTAGAAGTGAGGACGTGAAGGAAGTGGAATCAAATGATAAGAATGCAAGTGGAGGAGAGCCTTTCAAGATGAACCCCACTATTACTGTCATTCCTTGTGGTGATGTGAAGCAAGAAATCAAGGAGAGTATCACACCCAAAGAAATAAGGAGGAGAACTTGGAGGGAAAGGATGAACCGCATTATTGCACTGAAAAAGGAAGAGGACAACGCGAAAGTCATCGGCCAAGAAGGCCACCCCATGGATTTAAGTTGGGAGGCGACAAGCCTCACCGTGAGATCGTGGTGGATCCACTCTCGGTGGTTTCATATTCTTAAGCATTATAGATTTGCAACGTCAAGATAGTGAAGTTAAATTAGCGCTTGTTGGGAGGAAACCCGGCGTAGGTTTGTTTTCCTGTTCCTTATTTTCTCTTTTTGTGGTTGAGTGAAGAGTTTAATTGATCAAAGTGGTATCCCCGTGCCAGGTCTTTGTGATTGTGTGTTTGAGATGGGTTGTGATTGATAGTAGGTACGGTGGAGTAGGTCGAGTCAAAAAATTTCTGGAAATGCCCTGTTTTCACTTCAGTTCACGGTCTAAGCTTGCAGTTCGCGGTCTTAATCGATCGTGAACAGCTTAACGTGTCCGTGAACCAAGCTGCTTCCACGTGTTGTTAAACTCGTTGTTTCACACCAGTTTGCGGTCCGTGAGCTATGTTCACGGTCTTAGCAACCGTGAATAGGGCAATGCGTCCGTGAATCTCGAGGTCTGCCTATAAAAGGGCCGTGAACGCCTTATCTTCACTTCACGACCCATTTTTCGCCGGAAATCTGGGATCTTCTGACGAATTTTGCCATTTTCGTCAACTTCCGGCGATCAAAATAAAAAACCAACCACATACCCAATCTTCCCTCGTCAAGGGCGACCTTCGCTTAGATTTTGGGAAGATTTGGAGCTGATTTTTCCGACGAGCCTCCAACGAGGCTCCGATGAACCCTCTCCGGCCTGTTATCATGCAATTTTTCAACTCCCTCACCCTAACCTCACTTCCCCTGCGATCATTCTTGAGTCTCGAGGTTTGTTTTCGACCTTACCTTTTTTAATTGTGGAGAATCAGATTAGGGAGTGAAGTGAGGTGAATCTAGTGAATTGATTGTTGAACATAGAAATAGGGAGAGAGATTAGTTTATTAGTGGTGCATGAATGTTGAATGTGATTTGTATGATCTTAATTGAGCCTTGGTGAGCGACTGGGCGTAATTTAGGACAAATAGCTTTCAAATTTGAAATTTGCCCACCAAGTGCAAAAATTATGAATGAATGTGTAGCTTTTATGTTTGAGTGGTGGATGGTAGCCACTGTGGCATGGTTTGGGTTAGATTTTTTGTGTGAATAAACTGTGAAATACCTAGAACCATGCCTTGGTGTGCTTGAGCTTAATTGTTTCAAACGACATGGAACCGTAGTGTGAACATAAATGTGCGGGGAATTCATTTCCCTCCCAATGAGTTGAGATTGACAATTACTTCCACGTATGGTGCATGTTTGCCCCTTTTGCAGGAGGGTCAATATGAACCACCCGTAACTTTCGGCAGTTAGAGGGAAACCCGCAATGGAAAAAGAGCTGCGACTTTGGGCAAGCGCTCACTCCGAAGACCACTGGAAACTTGACTACACCCAGTTCGATGGTCTTCATTGTGGAGATATCATGAGGGAGGCTGTGGAGCACCCACAATGACGCCGACTCCTTGAACTGGAAGATGACATTTATGGGGAGCTGTGTGTCGACCTTTTCAATACCTTCACCATCTCTAAGACCATGAGCCTGTTCGGAAACCAAAGGCGCACGAAGAAATTCCATTTGGGCGGATAATGCCGCACCTTGACTTTCGAAGGGCTAGCCCGAGCCATGGGAGTTGGAGCCGCTTATGACTTGATATATACACATGTTTTTATCCACCATTCTTATGCCGTTTGAGCTTCATTTCTTGTATCTTAGGCCGATTTCACGCTAGGTTGTTCTCGGTTGTGATATCTCAGGTCCTAGTACGTGATTGGAGGTTTGGGAACGAGTTCAGGTTCGATTGGACGAAGGTGGGCGTTTGGCGAGAAACTGAGGAAACCACACGGCTAAACCTAGCAGCCACACGGTCGTGTGGCGTGGCCTTGTGGAATTCCATTACGCGAGCAAGACCACACTGGCCATGTACTGGGTCCCTTGAGGTGGTGTGGAAATTCCAGGGATGTCACACGGGCAAGCCAGTTTTCTACACGGTTGTGCAGCTCTAGCCGTGTAGCATTCTTTGAGGCACTTAATTGAAAGCCCCTTTTTGGAGCTCACACGGGCAGCTGGGATTTCCACACGGCCGTGTGGCCTGGCGTGTGGTCGGGAAATTCTGGGTTTTAACCCAATTTCGGGTCTTTTGGAGAGGGATCAAGTTTTTGAGCAAAAAACAGAGCTTTAGAGAGATAAAGTGCAAAGAACAAACCCTAGGAGATATTTGGAGTGGATTTCTCACCATTGAAGCCCAGATTGCATCCCCAGATGCGAATTGCCATCCTAGAGCAGATTATCCTAATCTTTATGAGTATGACTATTCTGAATTCTGTTTTCCTCTCTCTCTCTCTCTCTCTCTCTCTCTCTCTCTCTGGGGTAGAACCCTCTCTCACTTGGGTATGAAGAACCCTAGTTCCATGTGTTAAGAATCTTGATTGTAATGACTTGGGATTGATATACCGATTGATTTTAATCGATTGATGCATGATTTATTGAGTCAATTGAAGTGTGATAATCTTTTCTTGATTTCTGCTGCAACCTGAGATAGATAGAATCTGATTAGGTTGTTAGAGCTTCATCAATCGGTAGTGGTAGATTGGTTATACAAGAGTTAATCGATTTACTTCTTTGTACTAGAACCCAATTCCAGTAGTGGAGTTCTGCGTTTATTGCCTCAGCAGTCTATCCCGGTGAAGGCTAGTCGCCCACCGGTTAGTCTGCCTGAGAAGGCTTGGTTAGCTTAAGAGATTCCAAGCTACTGTCGGATCTTCCACATTTTAATCAACAGTTAATCAACCTAGGGTAATTACAACCTTGACCTAACTAAGGAGCTAGGGGGACTCATTCCCGAGTGACTCTTCCATTGCTAAAGAACTTTGAACCATTTCCTGCTTTTACTTAAAATCAACAATCACTCGACTTAGTTTGCTAGATAATAGATAATAACAGAGTAGGCAGTAGATCTAGACCCCGGGTTGACAAATAGAGCTTGCCACTTTACTGCATTTCCGGACTGTGATTACACTAGGTCGCAGTTTGGTGTTGTGTTTTAGAGTGTCAAGTTTTTGGCGCCGTTGCCGGGGACCTCTAGGTTATTGTGGAAACATGAAAGTCTGTTACTCTAGATTTTTCTTTATTGCATTCTCTCTCTTCCACTGGTGTGCCTTCACGGGTTGCTTTTGCTGATTGCATGCAGGTAGTGCATGACCCGTAGCCAGTCGGGAGATCTACTGCCATTGGACCAGGAAATAGAACAAACCTGTCGTAACCTCATGCGGACTCTAATGGCATGACTGCTATGCAGGAAGCTGTGGAGCAACTGCACATCACAGAGGAGGAAGAAATGGGTGAACCACAGAACAATGATGTGGTCATTCCCGAGGAGCAAACCATGGGCTATTACTGGACCGTCCGCGCCACAGACATGAGGTCCCCCATCCAATACCCTCAAGTTGCTGCCAACAACTTTGATTGGGGTACTGCTAGGAGGTCGAGGCGAGCATCAAGCCGGGGTGTACATGCTGTGGGCACCCACTTTTCTGATTTGGTGCAGGTTGTGTCTAAACTGGTCTCAGCCATCGATCGGAATGGGATGGTTTCGGGGACAGGGCAGCAACCGGTAATGCATTGCTAGTGGTGCGAGAGAGCCCATCATACTATGGAGGACTGCCAGGCCATGCGTGAGTCTAGTACACCCCAGGAGCATGTGAAATTCATCAACAATGCCAGGCGCAACGATCCTTACAGTAATACCTACAATGAGGGATGGCGCCATCATCCAAATTTCTCCTGGAGTGGCAACAGAAATCCAAATCCACCTGGCTTCCAGGCTCCTGCAACTAGTTTTCCAAACCAGAGGCAGCCATACCACCCTCGCCCGGGCCAGATGCAGCAACAGCAGCCGCTTTACCAACCCAGACAGGGGTAGGCTTTTCAACAGCCCCCACAACAGCAGTACCAGCAGCCTGGTGCATCTCCATCAGTCCCAGCACTAGGCGATCCCGTGTCAGAACTGAAGGATCTAGTTACTACCTTGGCCAGCACTAGTACCCAAAAGTTCAATAAATTGGAGCAATTCATGGAAGTGGCTGCAGGAAAATTCATGGAGATTGAAGCTGGCCAGCAAAACTAGCAGGCACTCTTGCAGGATATGGACACCAAGATCGGGCACCTGGCAGATGCCCTTGCTTCCAGTCCGGCTGGAACACTGCCTGGCCAACCCCTCCCGAATCCTAGAAATCATGAGGGGTTGCACACCATTATGTTGACAAGTGGGACTATGACTGCAGATGCACCGCAGAAGAGTGCCAAGAAGGTGACCCAGATCACCCCAGAGCCGGAAGAAGACCTGGTGATGGAAAAGGAGCCAGAGGCTCAAGCTCCATTGCCACAACCAGTAGTGGCTGAATATAAACCTAAGCTCCCTTTTCCCACCAAGATGTACAAAGACAGGCTAGAGACAGAGTTTGGCAATTTCTCGTCCATGCTTAGGAAGGTGAATGTTCAAGTGCACTTCATGGAGGCACTATCTCAGATTCCTAAGTATGCAAAGTTCCTGAAGGAGCTTCTCTCGAAGAAACGGAGGCTGAGCGAGCTGGCCACTGTGGCGCTCAGCGAGGAGTGCTCATCCATTCTGCAGAACAAGCTTCCACAGAAGCAGAAGGACCTAGGTAGTTTTACTATATCATGCTCTATATGTAAATTGCATGTAGAGAGGTCCTTGGCAGATCTAGGTGCTAGTATTAATGTGATACCATATAAATTGTTCAAGAAACTAGGCCTAGGGGAACCGAGTGCAGCAAGGATGAGTATTCAATTAGCTGACCGATATGTAGTCCATCCTAGGGGTATAGTGGAAGACCTTCTGGTTAAGGTTGGCAGATTCTTTTATCCTGTGGATTTTGTTGTCTTGGACATCAATGAAGATGCAGAAGTGCTCCTTATACTGGGAAGGCCTTTCCTGGCCATCGCCAAGGCTCTCATAGATGTGCATGATGGGACCTTAGTTTTGAGAGATGGCGAGGAGCAGATAACATTTTCCATTGCTAATACTCTCCCCGTTTCATCACCTTTGCATGCTGTTTCTCACCAGGAGCACGAGTCTGTCGTGTATCCTTCTGTGCCTCCCATTTTGCAGGATCAACCTCCCATACCTTCGCCGCCACTCCCGTCCGCCCTGTTCCCAAAAGAAAAGATCAAGGAGGAGTGGCAGCCGAAACTGCAGGTAGCTAAGCCTGCTGAAAAGGAAGCGGGAGACCACTATGAGTTGGTCCCGGCTCCAGAGCCTCGACCACCTTGGCCATCCGAGTATTCACTCGCTTGCATCCTGCCTGATGGTCAGGTCGAGTTGACGAGTGCAGATGGTCAGACCCGTCGTGTGCGTGGCCACCATCTGAAGTTGTACCTCAAGAGCGATGTGGATCCTCTCTTGAAGGCACCTGTTCCTACACCTCTCTGAGCATCCACCCTATTGGCGTCCAGCTAAAAGACGGTAAAGAAGCGCTTGTGGGGAGGCAACCCTACCAAGGTTAGTTTCCCTTTCGTTTGTTTTCGGTTTGTCCACTTGGTACTATGGTATCTGTTACCCAGTGTGTTTTGGTGACTCTAGCCCTGCTGACTGGTCTGATTTCTAGTCCCCCAATAGTCCGTATTCTTGGTAACATCGTTTCCCCATGTCTTTCCCTCTGCCCATTGAGGGCAATGTCATGCTTAAGTGTGGGGGGTGCTTTGTATTGGTTGGAATCTATATATGTGTGCTTGGAGCCTAGTCTGTTGTCCAAATCTCGAGTTTTGAGGGCTCCAAGTACCGCTATTTGCATGATCATATTGGCACTGTGGGTTTGATTGGTGAATCGAATGTCTTTCAAATTAATGCATGACAACTTGATTGTAACTAGGACAACCTATGATGATGACTGAGACGTGCAGTAGAGTTGTGTAGGGGTTCAGTTTTTCAACTGTTTGCTTACCAATTGTGACTTGGATTGATCACTTGCTCTTGACAGTCGTTTATGCATCTAGTTCAGGGAATCAGAATGAGAGATAGAGCATATAGGTAGCCATGTGAGATTTGAGCCTGCTCGTTTGTTTCTTGTGCGATAGTTCCCTCTTCCACGATGTGTAGCATTCATGTTGTCGCTTGCTAAGATGATGGAGGCATAGGAATATCCCACGACCAAATTGACTGTCCTGGTGTGCCATACCCCCTAGTCATCCCCTTTGAGTCGTGTACTTTCCTTTCTTTCGGACTACAATGGAAAAATCGCCCTTTTGCATCTCTTAGAAGGTTCCACAGAGTGGTTTTTGCTTGTTCTATGCTGTTTCTGCTAAAAATAATGTGAGGGTTGGAGTTAGTGCTTAAAAGTTGGGCATGTGTGTGAAAAATGTGCAGAGGTGGTGGTTCTCTCAAGAAATGAAAAAAAAAAGATGAATGAAAGCAAAAGAGAGCCACTACCAAAAATTTGAATCATGCTCATTAATTAGTGTTTCTTAGCAGTCTGGCTTGGAAATACTAACATTATTGTGACCTCCTTCGTTCTTGTGCTCTAAGGAATTTGAGTAATGCAGAATAGCAGAAAGAAAGTAAGTGGTT